TTATTATAATGCTTTGGAAAGCTGTCGAGATAAGCTACAAGAATATCTAATAAAAAATAAAGGATTTTAAAAAGTTGACCTATAAATGATCTCAAAATTTGACACCTAGGTAGAAGTCAACACCTTTAGTATTTTTTTCATAAGACCACTATTTTCGGAGATAATTGGCCATTGCCAGATTTTTTAATCACCATGTACATATTATATATATGTTTATGCATGGATATATGCATCTATATACATGTATATATATGTATATATTTCTTACATATATAAATGCATGCATAAATGCATACATATACATATACAAATACATATACACAACATGTATACACATACGTGTATGGTATAAGCATACGTGTATGGTACGTATATTGATATTACCTGTAATTTTCTATAAATTACAATGTATGCAGTACGCACAATTCGCTTTTCTTCACTTATCAATAATTGAGAAAATAGCAAATATATTCAAATAACTAGCTGTATATTTTTATATAATATAACAGAATATTATATAATATACAAAACATTTTTATGCATATATAGAATGAAATGAGCCCCTCCATCGCCCATTCCCGTGAGAACGCAACCATAATATATGTATTTTTTTCGTCTCTCCGATTTTTGCAAATGAGACATTTGTATTAGACACTTTTTTGCAACAATATTTATTAGAATTACACATTTCTAGTATAATGATAAAATTTTATTAGTTAGGAAAAGGTGACAGTTTATTTTCTGCTATTATTTTTAAGAAATGTTGTCTCATACGTTTAACATCAGCAGAATATGTCTCATTACAAGGATTTTCTCCTAAAGCTATAGTTGTAGCAAATGCGGCAGCAAAGATTCCACAACATATACCATCAGGTTGTGTTTGAACGTTTTTAAATATTATATTATTTTTATTTATTTGTGGATAACGGCGATGAATGTAATTTTTTCTTTAGTCTTCAATGTTTCGTATGTACAGCCAGATAGATTGTCGTACACTCGAAGCTTGGTGCCGTCAAAAGAAATACATCGCCAGTGATTACTGCAATTTTCTCCAATAATTTGTAAGCTTTTGTCGTTACAACTTGCTTCAATTATATGAGGATATAAAATATCTTTTTTTAATAACTAGAACGCACATGCAAATCGTTCTGGAAGAAGATATTTTAGAAACAACTAACAGACGAATAAATCGTCTCTGATATAAAATATCTTTTTTTAATAACCAGAACGCACATGCAAATCGTTCTGGGAGAAGATATTTTAGAAGCAACTAACAGACGAATAAATCGTCTCTGATATAAAATATCTTTTTTTAATAACCAGAACGCACATGCAAATCGTTCTGGAAGAATTTTTAAAGCAACTAGCAAACGAATGGATCATCTTTGGCATGAAATATCTTTTTTTGTTACTACTGCAACTTTATAACTATTATTATTACTATTGTACTATTGTAACTACTATTTATTATTACTATAATATTTCTACTACTAACAACTATTTAAAATAAGCAAGAGACTGCTTTATTTTTCAGAAATTGTTACTTTTAGAAAATATGTATATATATATTATGTAAAAAAATTTTATAACAATTGAACCCCATAAATATTGAATAAGAATGAAGGAGGTGTCATTAGAATATCGCAAAAATTTTATAGATGGAGAAAATTTTGCAAATTTTAGAATCATCTTTATTTTTCGAATGATCTCAAGAATACAAAGTTTCACTGTGGATATCACGTTGCAGGACATCCTGCGTATATATACACATACATACATACATTCATATATACATATATATATAATTCGCGAACCACCGCGAATGGGCAGATAGAGCGTGTTGAACTGAATAGAAAAGTCCTGTATCATTTTGCGATATTCGCAATAATTATTAAGTTATTTATTAAAATATCTAAACGAATAAGCAGTAGAAAGCATTATTGATCGAGAGGCGGCGTCATGCAGCAAGCGGCGACCAATGTAGTGGCGCCGAAAAGTAAGATGATACTTTTGATACTAAGCGGCATATAACAAATAAGTCATCCGACATGCACACCGAGTCCGGCCTACCGCTTTCTACCCGCTCATTCGTTTAGATATTTTAGTTAATAACTCAATAATTATTGCGAATATCGCAAAATGATACAGGATTTTCTATTCAGTTTAACACGCTCTATCTGCCCATTCCCGGTGGTTCGCGAATTATGGGACACCCTGTATATGAATGTATGTATGTATGTATGTATGTATGTGTATATATACGCAGGATGTCCTGCAACGTGATATCCACAGTGAAACTTTGTATTCTTGAGATCATTCAAAAAATAAAGATGATTTTAATTTGCAAGATTTTCTTTATCTATAAATTTTTTGCGATATTCTAATGATACCCCCTTTATTCTTATATATATATATATATATATATATATATATATATACACACACACGCGCGCGCGCACACACACACACACACACAAATATATATATATATATACAGGGTATCCTAAAAAGATCGGAACACTGAAAAATCTCGAAAAGTATACGTTTTACACAGAAAAAGTTTTAGACAAAATGATAAAAATCTATTCATTGATCTGATCAGTTTGACCTTGGACAGTGTTACCAAGGTCAAAATAAGGTTACCTTAAATTTCTTAGATGGAATCCTATATTTTTTATTACATATTCTTGTAGCTTATCTCGAGGGCTTTCCAAAACACTATAATAAAATTATTTTTCATAAAGTGCTCTTTGAGTTATTGTTTCGTACTTACAACGACGATCAGAAGATAGCCAATCGTAAAATATAAGTATTAGTTGAAAATATGGTCTTACGCGATTCGCTGATAAAAATACGTGGGGATAGCCCCAAAATATAAATAGAGAAGCAAACGCTTCTCCGACTTACTTCTCAACACTTATCTGTACTTACTTTTCGGCGAAAATATACATAAACCTGCGCGTGTATCGACAACAACCTTTTTGTACTCAGACGAGCGGCATACCTGGACGCCGCTATAATAAATCCTTTACTATAAGGAACGGAACATAATAATTATTCTGTGTGGATATTCCACACGGGTCTATCTATCCTTCGTTGCATCCTGCAATCAGAGGAGCGGCCTCACGGCTGGGACATCATCTCGCAATATAAAAAACGTTGGGTAGAGAACGCGCCGGCTTACAACCGGCGCATCAGTTCTCAAATTATTATTAAACATTTTGGTCCTTCGAGCCGGATTAATTTCCGGAGGCGTCGGACGTCTCGAAGGAGACGAAACCGACTCAAGTCTGAGTGCGGATCCACGGCGAGGGTGTCGGCTACGTACCAGGACGACAGCCAGTTTGGAGGACGGTGACCGGGCCTGCCGAGCTGCACGCAGGGAGAGACGATATTCGTCGGAGCGGCACCTCGAGGGGCGGCGTGGCGCCAGGCAGAGAAGAGGACACGTAACTGGGTAAGCGGTACTTAAGCCTGCACCAATTCTATTTTTTGCGCTGCGTAAGTGACCTATTTATTTATTTATTTGCAAATACTTGATTCGCGTCGGTCATTATAAACTGTTTGTAAATCGAAAAAAGAAAAATGCCGATTGACCGTAGCCCGGGTACAAGTAGCGCGAGTGCGTCGACGTCAAATGTGACGGCATCAGAGATAGCGGCGCTGAAAAGAAAGCGCAGAATAATAAAGGGTTCGTGCACGCGGATAGAAACGTTCGTGAATAGCGTGAACGCGGTAGATGACGATGCACGAGCGCAATTGGAAGTAAGGCGCGCGCGCTTAGACCCAATATGGGAAGATTACTGCAAGGTGCAGTCGCAATTAGAGGCAATAGACGAGGCCGAAATAGAGGACAGAGTCGCGTTTGAAGACAACGTATATTCGTTGTGCGCGAGAATGCGGCGATTATTGCGAAATGACAGCGGTCAAAATAGTCCGCGGGCCTCCACGCCAGTATCAGCGCGATCCGAGAGCGAAGCCGCAACATACGTCCGTTTACCAAAATTAAATTTACCGTCTTTTTCCGGAAAGTACGAGGAATGGTTCCCGTTCCATGACACTTTTATTTCGGTCATACATAATAACAAAACATTATCTGACATACAAAAATTTCAATATTTACGGGCGTCGTTGACGGGTACAGCTCTCGACATCGTCAAAACATTAGAGATATCAAATAACAATTACGACCTTGCGTGGAATATTTTAAAAGAGCGTTATAATAATAAGCGTGTAATCGTGCAGACACACATAAAAGCGATATTCGATTTAATGGCGATTACGAAAGAAAGCGCGAGTGGCATTCGGCAGCTGGCGGACGGTGCGGCGGCACACGTGCGCGCGTTAACTGCATTGGACTGCAACGCCGACAAATGAGACGCGTTGTTAATACATATAATTACGTCCAAATTAGATCACGTAACATCTAGGGAGTGGCATTCCTCCCTGGGGGGCTCGGAGTTGCCCGCATTTAAAGAATTAATTGATTTTCTCGCCCATCGCAGTCAGATTTTAGAGGAGTCGGCTGGGAGGGGATCAAGCGCTTTCGAGCGCTCCGACATTCGTTCGCGGGCGCGATCGACTTCGGGACGGCGCGCGCTGCATGCGACGGTCGAGGGGGGAAGATGCACTTATTGCGGGGGTGCGTATTTAATATACTTTTGCAAGGGATTCCTAGCGCTTCCGGTAAATCGGCGCATAGGTGAGGTGCGCGGTCGAAAACTCTGTCTAAATTGCTTGCGTAGCCGTGATCACGTGGCGGCCGAGTGCTCGTCGAGCGGCTGCAGGACATGCAAGTTGAAGCATAACACTCTGCTACATCTCTCAAACCAGGGAAGGGGAATTGAGAATTCGCGGGCCGCCGGCTCAGCGGCGGACGGTTCGACTCTGATTGCGGGCGACCCTACCGTCGTGGTCGCGCACGGCGCGGTCGGGGGTGACGGCGCGGAGCCCTTACTGTCAACAGCGGTGTTTACGTTTACGGCGCGGACGGTTCGCGGATGTCATGCCGTGACTTGCTGGATGCAGGAGCACAGGCGAATTTTATTTCAAATAAATTCGTGGCGAAGTTGAGATTAAAAACATTGCCTACGGAATTGTCAATATCGGGCATATTCGGATCGACGTCCGTCTTAAATCGGATGACGCGAGTCAGACTCCGGTCGCGACTGAGTTCGTTCGAGGCCGAGCTGGACTGCGTTGTCACCGACCGAATCGCGGATAGAGTTCCGGCGAGCACACTGAGGCGTCAGGCCTTCAGGCTGCCGCCCGGCATCGATCTAGCGGATCCGAAATTTAACATATCTTCCGACATCGATTTATTGATCGGGATCGACTTATTTTGGCGGCTGGCGTGCGTGGGCCAAATTCATGCGACATCCGAGCACCCTCTTTTACAAAAAACACGTCTTGGCTGGGTTTTGGCCGGGCGTACGGGTGGGGGCACCTCACGATCGAGCGCCAAATTGCGTGCGTTACACGCGACGATTAATAACGCGCAGCTCCACGAACGAGTTGACCAATTTTGGAGGATCGAGGAATTAGCGGATTCTAACGGTTATACCCGCGACGAGCAGGCTTGCGAAAGTCACTTTATGACGAACGTGTCGACGAACGATGAAGGCCGATATATCGTGAAATTGCCGCTAAAAGAGGACATATTTCAACGGCTCGGCGAATCGCGCGAAACAGCGATAAAGCGTTTTCTTGCGCTCGAGAAGCGGCTCAACCGCGACCCGGGTTTGAAGCGCTCCTACGCGAATTTCTTACGCGAATATCAATCGTTGGGGCACATGAGAATCGCACCTGCAAGGTCGATCGGGGGTAAACCTGTATATCTGCCGCATCACGGAGTAATAAAGGGGACCGGTCCATGCGCGAAGTTGCGCGTGGTTTTCGATGCCTCGTGCAAAACCAGCACGGGAGTTTCGCTCAATGAGGCTTTACGAATAGGTCCGGTGATTCAACAAGAATTGATAACAATATTAATGCGGTTTCGAACGTTCGTATATGTCTTCGTGGCGGACATAATCAAAATGTATCGTCAGATACGGCTGCACGAATCGCAGACGCATCTGCACAGGATAGTGTGGCGAGAGGACTCGGGAGCGCCGATCGGCGAATACGAATTGCTGACGGTCACGTACGGTACGAGTTCGGCGTCGTTCCTGGCCACCAGGTGCCTTCAGCACCTGGCACAAAAACATGCGGACGAATTCGCGATCGGGTCGAGATGCGTGCTCCGGGATTTTTACGTCGACGACCTGCTCACCGGCGCTAACACCCTGTCGGAGGTGAGGCGCGTACGCGGGGAAACGGTTGCGCTACTGAAGCGCGGAAAGTTCGAGTTCGGCAGGTGGGCATCAAACTGCCGAGAATTATTGAAGGACGTGGAGGGCGCGACGGATGCGAGCGTGTCTCTGGGCGGGGACTCGAGCTCTAAGATCCTGGGAATTGCGTGGGATCCCGTTAACGATAGTTTTAAATTCGATTATGAGACCGGATCGCCTGCCAATTGCATAACCAAGCGAACGATTTTATCAGAGATCGCGAGCCTTTTCGATCCGTTGGGGCTATTGGGGCCATTGACGGTAGTAGCAAAATTAATTCTGCAAGACACATGGCAGACGCAGGTCGGATGGGATGAGTCGCTGCCGCAGGACATACATACGCGTTGGCTGGGAATAAAACAGCAATTGACGAATCTCGGTGAGTTACGCGTGCCGCGTTTCGTGGGCCGCGTGATCGATGACGGGGGTGTGCAGCTGCACGGTTTTTGCGACGCGAGCAAGCGCGCCTATGGTGCGTGCGTGTACGTGAGAGCGTACAATTCCGGAGAATGCCGAGTGCGGTTGTTGGTCTCAAAATCGCGAGTCGCGCCTATGAGGGCAATATCATTACCGCGCTTAGAGCTGAGCGCGGCGCTACTGTTGGCAAAATTGATAGAAAAGGTTCGAGAGTCGGTCGGACTTCACGCCGCGGGGGTGGTTCTGTGGTCGGACTCCACCATTACATTGCAATGGATTCAGTCTTCGTCGCGAAAATGGAGCGCGTTCGTCGCGAATCGAGTCGGGGAGATACAGCGCTTGACCGAGGGCGCAGATTGGCGGCACGTGCCGTCCACGGACAACCCGGCCGATATATTATCGCGTGGCGCGGACTTGGCGGCTCTGGCTGTGTCTGGTCTATGGTGGGAAGGACCGGCATACCTTCGACTTAACGAGGGACATTGGCCGATTAGAAACATCGAGATATCGGGAGAACTGCCCGAGCAGAAAAGAGTGATCGCTGCCGTGGCGGTCGGAGATCGACCGATAGTCTCGGGTTTATTGGAGAGATTTTCGAGCCTGGAGAAAATACTGCGAATAATATCATATTGTTTGAGATTCGGTCGTGCGCGACGGGCTGAGGAGATCGGGTCATCGATATCTCATCGGGAGATGACCGCGGCCATGCAAGTCGTGGTGCGTTGTGTGCAGCGCGGGTCGTTCCCGGGGAATATCGCAGTTTGGGCGAGGGCCGGAGCATCAGCGGCGGGAGTCGCATATTATCATTGTCACCGTTTATGGACGAGTGTGGCGTCATTCGCGTTGGAGGTAGAATAAGCAGGGCGGCGTTGCCGCCGGATGCGGTGCACCCCATGCTGCTGCCGAAAAGCCACGCTCTTACAACGCTAATTATTCGAGGAGAGCACGTTAGGAGCTTGCACGCGGGACTGCAGGCCACGATATGCGCGGTGCGTCAGCGCTATTGGCCCTTGGCGGCGCGTTCAGCGGTTCGCAGGGTGTTACGCGAATGCGTAACGTGCTTTAGGTGTGGGCCGGCAGCATCTCAGGCGGTGATGGCGGATTTGTCTGGGCCACGGGTAAACGTATCAAGGCCATTCACGCATACGGGCGTGGACTATGCCGGCCCGATATTTATAAAAGAATCCAAGCGGCGCAACGCCAGGATGCTAAAGGCTTACATCGCCGTTCTCGTGTGCTTCGCGACCAAGGCTGTACATTTGGAGGTCGTAAGCGATCTCACGGCGGACGCCTTCTTGGGGGCGTTTAAAAGATTTATGTCGCGGAGAGGCAGGCCGGCGTGCGTGTACTCCGACAATGGCACGATATTTGTCGGAGCCAATAGGCAAATTAGAGAAATATACGAGGTAATCAGTAGCTCTGAAGGGCAGGAAAACGTGCGTCAGTTCGCGCGGCGGAATGAGTTCGTTTGGAAGTTTATACCGCCCCATGCCCCACATTTCGGGGGCTATGGGAAGCAGCGGTGAAATCCGCGAAAATACATCTAAATCGCGTGGTCGGAAACGCGAACCTCACTTTCGAGGAAATGCAGACGGTCCTGTGCGAGATAGAGGCCGTACTAAATTCGCGACCATTAACAGCGCTAAGCGAAGATCCAAACGATCTCAATTGTATAACTCCGGGTCACTTTTTAATTGGTGCAGCGCTTAATAGCTTCCTAGTTACAGATTTAGCAGAGGAGAATCCGGGACGACTGTTGCGCTGGCAGCGCGTGGAGCAAATGCGCCAGCATTTTTGGAAACGCTGGAGTACCGAATATCTGCACACTCTCATCGAGCGGAGGAAATGGAAGGCCAGCCAAGGACAGCAACTAAAAATTGGTCAGCTGGTATTAATTCAGCAGCCAGGACTGGGGCCATTGCAGTGGTTATTAGGCCGAGTTGAACGAGTACATCCGGGCGCTGATGGGGTTGTCCGAACGGCCACGCTAAAGACGGCACGAGGACAGGTTACAAGGCCCCTGACAAAACTGGCGATATTGCCATAAATGACACGGACAAGCCTACGATCAATTAAATTATTTTGTACGCGCGTTCTTCTATATTGTGTTTGTCATGCATGTGACACGATGCGCGCCCTTTTATTATTTTTTTTTTATATATTATATGTCGTTTAACGTTGCTTCCGTTTCTTTTCCTTTACTTTTTTTTATTTTTTATTATTATTGTAAAATGCGCGCTATATTTATTTTATTATTATTTTATATCGTTTAGCGTTGCGTTTTTTGTCATTGTAAAGCCGTTTCGTTTTTCTTTTATCAAGCATTTCTTTCATTGCATGTGCTTGTTGCGTATCTGAATTTATATCACGCCGCTTGACACGTTCCCATTATTAATTGTTGAACGAGGCTCCATAACGAAATCATTACGACATGAATTTCATAAATCGACTAGTTACGGCGTTTAATTTGAAGACAGGACCTTCAAGGGGGGCAGGATGTTTCGTACTTACAACGACGATCAGAAGATAGTCAATCGTAAAATATAAGTATTAGTTGAAAATATGGTCTTACGCGATTCGCTGATAAAAATACGTGGGGATAGCCCCAAATATAAATAGAGAAGCAAACGCTTCTCCGACTCACTTCTCAACACTTATCTGTACTTACTTCTCGGCGAAATATACCTATAACCTGCGCGTGTATCGACAACAACCTTTTTGTACTCAGACGAGCGGCATACCTGGACGCCGCTATAATAAATCCTTTACTACAAGGAACGGAACATAATATTATTCCGTGTGGATATTCCACCGGGTCTATCTATCCTTCGTTGCATCCTGCAATCAGAGGAGCGGCCTCACGGCTGGGACATCATCTCGCAATATAAAAAACGTTGGGTAGAGAACGCGCCGGCTTACACCGGCGCATCAGTTCTCAAATTATTATTAAACAGTTATAAGGTTAGAAGCTAACAATTTTTTGACATAAAATATACTTTATAAAATATTCCTTTTTGATAATCATACCTACTTTTTTGCCACAGTAAATAAAAAATCAATTTAATTAAAGAAACAGATAATTGAATATGTAATATTCAATATGCAGCAGCATACTTTTTTTTATAAGCAACTATGTGTTTTTTACACCAATTCATTGGTCTCATTATTCCGTGCAAAAAAGATATGATTACCGAAATGAAATATTTTAACAAAGATATTTTACATTTTATGTCAAAAATTGTTAGCCTTTATAAATCAAAGAGTACTCATAAAAAATAATTTTATTAGTGTTTTGGAAAACTCTCCAGATAAGCTACAAGAATATGTAATAAAAATTATAGGATTCCATCTAAAAAATTCAAAGTGTCCTTATTCGGACCTTGGTACCGCCGTCCAGGTCACACTGATAAGATCAATAAATACATTTTT